TCGCTCCTGCGTATCTTTAATGGCAGCCAAGCCATTTGTAGCCACCTTATAAAAAGCAACCCTACTATATCGTACAGAGAAAAAAATTGCCTAATTTATTATTTTTCAAAGATTAGCCAAATTTTACAATTGAGTTCAGATAAATAAATAATGATAAACAGCTATTGCAGTTTTTAAAAATACGCGTAACTAAGGCTTCTACTCTTATTGGAAATTATCCGAAATTGAATGTGACTTATGGGCCAAAACTACGCGTACGCGCGCCACGTGTACGATTCAAGCTTTCATGTATATACAATTTACTCTGTGGTTTTTGCCGACCGATCGACCCTTACGAATGTGTACGTAGTATAATAATATAAAATTAAAAATTTTGAACAGCCGACTTCAATATGAGTTATTAAGAATAACTCAGAAACTTTTGGTCTTACCTTGATCAAATTCATATGGGACCACACGAGAAATACCAGCTTTCAAATAAAAAAAAGAATCATCCAAGTCGGTTCACCCAGTAAAAAGTTATGAGGTAACACGCATAAAACAACTACACAACAGTCTAATTGAGTACCGTCTCCTTTTTGGAAGTCGGCAAAAAATAGATATTTATGTATGACAATCAGTTAAAATAATGCATTACCACGCATTTTGAATTTAAAAGACAAAAAGGACAGAATATTTGAGATTTTCTTTTCATTAATATTTCTTTTATTACTTATTCTGAACCGTCTCTGCAAATTTTACCGGTTATTGCAAAATAACCTTGTATAATTTCATTAAAACATGTAATGAACGTGTAATTTTAACAACAGATACCTGTTTACAGGTGGTTACTTAGAGGTTGCGGCCTATTTAAATGTGACAACCCAAACTTTTTAATTCCTTTACAAATTATTTTCCTTTAATTTTATTGATACTTTTTCCAAAAAAATTAAGTGAATTAAATTGTTGATATTATATTTTAAATTAAAATTTATTCATTAATTAAATTTTAATCAAAAATACTTGTAGGCCGAAAACGTATTCTACTATTAACGATTGTTCATAAAATTTCCATTTCATTTAAAAGAAGGATGGGCGTTGAAATCATGCGATGGAATTCCAGACGATAACAGTTTGTTATATTTCGAAATAACTGTAAATGTTATGGTCTTTATTTATGTTTAATTTCTCATTGTGAATTTTTTTATAGGATAGGGTGACAAACGAGCACACAGTCCACCTGATGGTAAGTGGTTCCTGTGGCCCATAGACATCTACATCTATCCTCAATTACAATTCAAAATGCAGATGCGCTGTCACCCGTGAGGACTAAGAAGGAATGCCTCATTTCCAATAAAAATGGTCTCCGGTTCTCTACACTCACCATAAGAAACACAGCAGCGTTAAGCTGCTATTTTACGCTGGTATTCTGTGAGAGCGTCGTCCTTTCCCGGTCGAGCCGACCTATTCGTGCTACAAATATACTACTAATATAGCCGCAGCATGTCTCTACCAGGTCTAAAAAATGTAAATTCTTTTAAGAAGTAAAGCAATCCTATACCTGAAAATAATTTGTGCCGCTTGAGATGTCTTGTAAATTATTATTGTAGAGGTAGTTACTAATTATTAAGAACTAATAGACGTTACATGAAATTAAATTACTTAAATAGTTTTCACAAGATAATAACATGACCTAGGTGATTCAATGAGATAAATCTGTATTAATTGTAGATATACAAAATTGGTAGGTACTTGGTACAATTGTTCGTATAAAATGAAGCAATATATCCGCACACCACACGGTACAGTCGCGTGGGATATTGCGTTATTAGCGCAGCGCACAATAATTATATATTTGCGGGTGTATTCATAATCATTTTTAAACAGTTCATTAGTTAAAAAGTGTTTTGTCACTTTCTAGCAACAAGTATCTCGCAAATGTCAGAATGAGACAAAACACTTTTTAACTAATGAACTGTTTAAAAATGATTATGAATACACCCGCAAATATATAATTATTGTGCGCTGCGCTAATAACGCAATATCCCACGCGACTGTACCGTGTGGTGTGCGGATATATTGCTTCATTTTATACGAACAATTGTACCAAGTACCTACCAATTTTGTATATCTACAATTAATACAGATTTATCTCATTGAATCACCTAGGTCATGTTATTATCTTGTGAAAACTATTTAAGTCATTTAATTTCATGTAACGTCTATTAGTTCTTAATAATTAGTAACTACCTCTACAATAATAATTTACAAGACATCTCAAGCGGCACAAATTATTTTCAGGTATAGGATTGCTTTACTTCTTAAAAGAATTTACATTTTTTAGACCTGGTAGAGACATGCTGCGGCTATATTAGTAGTATATTTGTAGCACGAATAGGTCGGCTCGACCGGGAAAGGACGACGCTCTCACAGAATACCAGCGTAAAATAGCAGCTTAACGCTGCTGTGTTTCTTATGGTGAGTGTAGAGAACCGGAGACCATTTTTATTGGAAATGAGGCATTCCTTCTTAGTCCTCACGGGTGACAGCGCATCTGCATTTTGAATTGTAATTGAGGATAGATGTAGATGTCTATGGGCCACAGGAACCACTTACCATCAGGTGGACTGTGTGCTCGTTTGTCACCCTATCCTATAAAAAAATTCACAATGAGAAATTAAACATAAATAAAGACCATAACATTTACAGTTATTTCGAAATATAACAAACTGTTATCGTCTGGAATTCCATCGCATGATTTCAACGCCCATCCTTCTTTTAAATGAAATGGAAATTTTATGAACAATCGTTAATAGTAGAATACGTTTTCGGCCTACAAGTATTTTTGATTAAAATTTAATTAATGAATAAATTTTAATTTAAAATATAATATCAACAATTTAATTCACTTAATTTTTTTGGAAAAAGTATCAATAAAATTAAAGGAAAATAATTTGTAAAGGAATTAAAAAGTTTGGGTTGTCACATTTAAATAGGCCGCAACCTCTAAGTAACCACCTGTAAACAGGTATCTGTTGTTAAAATTACACGTTCATTACATGTTTTAATGAAATTATACAAGGTTATTTTGCAATAACCGGTAAAATTTGCAGAGACGGTTCAGAATAAGTAATAAAAGAAATATTAATGAAAAGAAAATCTCAAATATTCTGTCCTTTTTGTCTTTTAAATTCAAAATGCGTGGTAATGCATTATTTTAACTGATTGTCATACATAAATATCTATTTTTTGCCGACTTCCAAAAAAGAGACGGTACTCAATTAGACTGTTGTGTAGTTGTTTTATGCGTGTTACCTCATAACTTTTTACTGGGTGAACCGACTTGGATGATTCTTTTTTTTATTTGAAAGCTGGTATTTCTCGTGTGGTCCCATATGAATTTGATCAAGGTAAGACCAAAAGTTTCTGAGTTATTCTTAATAACTCATATTGAAGTCGGCTGTTCAAAATTTTTAATTTTATATTATTATACTACGTACACATTCGTAAGGGTCGATCGGTCGGCAAAAACCACAGAGTAAATTGTATATACATGAAAGCTTGAATCGTACACGTGGCGCGCGTACGCGTAGTTTTGGCCCATAAGTCACATTCAATTTCGGATAATTTCCAATAAGAGTAGAAGCCTTAGTTACGCGTATTTTTAAAAACTGCAATAGCTGTTTATCATTATTTATTTATCTGAACTCAATTGTAAAATTTGGCTAATCTTTGAAAAATAATAAATTAGGCAATTTTTTTCTCTGTACGATATAGTAGGGTTGCTTTTTATAAGGTGGCTACAAATGGCTTGGCTGCCATTAAAGATACGCAGGAGCGAGGCAGAGTTAGCGACCACAACTTGCATCGGACAAAGAAGTGGCTACCTTTGGTTGTAAACTTGCTGCGCATGCGTCAGTAGGGTGAGTGGGGGGAAGATGAAAAACGGGGTAAGATAAAAAGGCATCAGTAAAAACAGATTTTGAGTAATTTATCCAATGCAGACAACATTCATAAGACCGCTATTTTGTTACGTACCACACCTAAGACGGCACTTGTTGTTTTGAGGGACCGTGTGTGTTATAAGGGTGTTATAAGGCCGGCAACGCATCTGCAATTCCCCTGGTGTTGCGGTTGTTCATGGGCGGCGGTAGTCACTTACCATCAGGTGAGCCGCATGCTCGTTTGCCCCCTCTCCTATAAAAAAAAAATATCTTCGCTGTGATTTTTACGCGAGCAAGTCGGGTGTTTTAATCTTACCCCGTGTCGTGTAACTTGATTTACGAGGTGGGTACGAGTTTTTTATTTGTATACATACTTATTATTTTTAATTGGTAGTTATGTTGCTATGTCTAAATATCGCTACTTTTTGGATTTTAGGATTTATAGTAACATTCCGTCTTTACGCGCCAAAATTTGACAGGCTAAGATAAACATATAAAAGTTTCCATCTTGCCCCGTTTTCAAAAGTCACACAAAATACACCCGTTAGTAGATAGTTTATCGGTGACGAGTGAATCGAAGATCAAATAAGCGTAAAAGCATAATTGTCTATTCATCCGATATTTTTGCAACAATTACCCATCGCTATATTATCTATCATATCTATTGATACTAATTGAACGCCAATTAGATAATATTGCACATATTATGTATACTGCGATATAATGCATACCTGGCAATACTTTACAAAATCTGCAATCTTATCGCTTATCGAATTTGTTTTATCATAGATATTTTAGGAATTTAATTAAAATGAATGAATTTTGTTTTGCTGATTTTACAATAATTACAATGAAATATAATAGTATAAATACAATTAAACATATTTTAAATTCTTTTACACATTATTAGATCGAAATTCACGACTTCTATAAATACTTATTATTATTTTGATATACATAAATACCGAAACAAAAATAAAACTACCAGCTGTTTTAATGTATTGTAAAGATCCATATCGTATTTTATTGTAAGTAATCCTGGCTTAATAAAAAGTGAAAATATATTAAAAATTACAGATTTTTCCTGACTTTTTACGACCTTTCATCGTATAATGTAGCAAAAAGTGGAGTCACTGTAGAAGCAGCTTCGGAAAGTCAAAAATAACAACAAAGAAGTACAATAAAAAAATTCCAAAGGCATGGCAACTACTGGATATAAAAGTACATTATTAAATTAACACTCATTAAACAGAATAACGAGTTTCATTTTTGTAATTAATTAATATCCTAATTTTTTTATACGCAAAGCTACTCCTACGCACCTAATCTAGGATACGGAATGCCATCAATGTCAGTGTAAGTAGTAATTAAAATTTATTAATAATTAATTAAACGTAATTAGTAAAGAGGTGTATAAATTATTAGCTTTATTTTGACATTTGTTTTCGTAGAACTGTGTAAATAGCGCATTAATTAGTGACCTGTAATGCTGGGTGCCTAAAACCTAAAACAGACTCCAGTCTATTACGAACCCCCCGATCGGGTTCCCGCCTGCTGTGGCGGGAGGGCTTATTAGCCGTAATTTGGTCAACCACGATGAACCAAGAGGGAGCCACTTTGATAGCTAGAGGTGAAGTGTCAGTCCGACAAGACCACTCAGGATGGGTGTTGGTAGATTGTAGCAAATAGGATGTTGGTCTGGGGATGCACAACTCGCCCTGTACTCCGTGACTCTGAGGGAATCGCGCCGTTGATGCGATAGAGTTGTGGTCGCAATGAAAAGGAATGTAGGAATTGCGAGGTACCGTGGCCAAACCTTGGTTGGTAGCGGAGCCATAGACCAGATGCCGCTGCTGGAGTCAGGAGGGTTGTTGCTTTCGAGTATTCGTTTTTCCTGGCCCATGGCCTGCGCGTATCGGATATTGGGGTACTCTCCCTAAATAAGATTTTTACATGGATACACAGCCTTTGAAGTAAGGCCTTTTTATGGTAAAAAATAAATGATTTTGATATAATTCTTATTATTCTTTATTTTTTAAAGTCTTAAGGTTCATTTATTTACCTAACTTAAAAATATAAAATATTAATTAGGTTCATAAAAAACTATAACTCAAATTATCATACAGTCTAGTTACCCAAAATACAATGTCAATAACGCTGGCTACCTTTCGTCGTTGAATGGTCCTCTTATACTAGCGTCAACGGCAAGTCGCGGAAACAGTTCCTTTAGCAACTTTACCCCACATGGACCAGACGAACCGATAGTTTCTAAAGCGTATTGTATAGATATGCAGTCATCTGTCAGAGACTTATCGTGTCATTTACACAGTACAGCCACCTCTGATAGTACCGCGGCACACACTTTATTTGTTACATTAAATTTATTACATATTATAAAATAGCAACATCGTTGTCTTTGTGCCTGTCCATTATTGTACTAACTCGAGAATCACATATTGTCATTCATATCGTCCCCTGTATTGCAATCTTATTTTTTTAAAAAGCTAAAGTGTAAAACGACCTAACAAGCTATCTGATGGTAAGTGACTACTGCAGTCCATGGATACTTGCAGCCATACAAAGAATAATGCATACAAAGGAGGTTACAAATGCGTTGGCTACGATGACTACGATGGAATGCCGTACAGTCTGTAACTATGGTTCTCTATAACCTACACACCGGAACACAGTAACACAAGCACTGCTATGTGGCGGCAAAATAGATAAGAAAAAAATATTAAAAGAGTCCCACCACCTGATATCTTCTAGGGACTGAAACTTCACTGCATTAAAAATTAACCGTAGTGTTCCCAACTACTACCAGTTCTTGTCCGTGTTCAAGAAACTGAACTCTTTGGGAAACACTACTCAGATATTTAAGCATGGTGCTAAGGTCCTTCGAGGATCCTGCCATAGCGACTTAATCGTCGGCAAACCGAAGGTGAGTGATGTATTCGCCATTAATATACCCTACCCAGTCCAGTAACTTGAAAACGTCTTTCAATGCAGCGGTGAGGAAGGTCGGCGGTATTACATAACTATCAATAACAACATATAACATATAGTAATAACATGGCTATCAAAAACGCAGTCGAGTTTTTTAAGCGAAATCTCCGCACTATCACCAATTATGCAGCTCGAGGTCAAAGTTATCCAGTATGAGTGAAAACCACTGAATTCTTCTGGATATCACCAACGTGTACAACCACTGAATAATAACGAAAACATTTTTGTGAATGGTTAGTGTTATTTTAAGTGATGACATATTTAAATTGTAAATATTTCGCTGTTGTTAATAGTTAATTGTTTTAAATAGTTAATAGTTGTAAATATGTACCTTATTCCAATTTTTAAATACGCCATCACAGTCATCGGTTACTTCGTGGAAATGTAATTTTTTTAATTTTATTTATTATGACGGTCCTATGCCCGTTTAAGTATGAAGGAAAAATTGGAATCATAATTCGCGTCGCGTTGTTATCAACTTAATAGCGAATGTGTTATTTAAGAAATAAATAGTAGGCAAAAACTCCGTGCATTGACTCGTACACACACACGCGTGCGTATGCTGTATTTGTTGCCTATAAATCACATTCAATTTCGAATATTTTCAAATAAATATAGAAAAAATATTTACACGTGTTTATAAAAGCTGCAAAAGGTGTATATCATTATTTATATTTTAAACTTAAAAATAACCCTGTGTGTTGTATATTCTATATACTATATTATACTCTAGTGGTCGTAAAGGCGATTGCTGATCATTAGATCCCAGGTTCGATTCCCGGGTCGGACCAGAATCAGTTAATGGGTTTATCTGACAAGAAATTCTCAGTAACAGTCTGGCGGCAGGAAGTTGGAGGTATTTCACTCCCGTGTCACGGAAAGCATGTAAATCTGTTGGTCCTGCGTCTGATCTCTTTCCAATCGTGGCTTACCGTTCTTTCGGAATGTGAGAGTGAGGGAATTGTAATATGGTAATATATACTATACTACAGAATAGAGAATGCACCTGTGCTTGCGCATACAGTCGGGCACTATAATTCTGTCCTGCTTAGATGGCTAATTTTCAGTTGGTAGTAACCACCGTGACCGAAACTCTGTATGTATATAGTCTATAGTACTAAAGCCATTTCAGAAACCAGCTTGTTCGAGAGGCTGCAAATTGCCGAGACAATAACATATAGACGCGGCCAAGAATCAGCCTTTAATTCTTCAATGGAGTTTCATCACCTTTCTTGAGAAATAAAACTACACACTTCTGCTCTACGTCTGCGGAGAGCACCACCGTATCGACGCAATTATATAACTGAGAAGGACTTTAAGTATCGGTTTATCATTACGAGAAAAAAGGGCCTCTAGTTTTCTACATTCATCATGCGAAACACTGCAGCATTAAGATGCTATTTTTAAGCTGTTTTTTTATTTTTATTTTTTAAAACTCGCTTTACAATACCATTTTTAATTGTGTAATAATTTAATCTCTTCAATCGATAGTTTCATCATCAATGTTTGTTATAACTTTTACAGAATTTATTGGTCTTGATATAATATTATCTTCATCCACCCATATTTCTCCAATATTTTTCCATATTCCATGACAACTTGATTTTTCTTCGACTTCTTCCGTTTCTTCCCAGGATACGGTATCTAGCTTAACGTTTGTCCAAGCTTTTTCTATGCAACTACTTTTCTCCTCTAAGGCTCCTTGTTTGCTTGTTTTATCATCTACACTTTCGGATTCATCACTGACAACAGGTTCTATAAAATCATGTTCTTGTAACTCTTCATCAGTACTTTCTTCCGTTTCATTGCATTCTTCCGTCACAGAATCTGTGGTGACTTCCTTTATATCCAATTGGTTTATTTCTTCTTCCAAATTTTTGCTCTGTTTTTTAAGTATACGATCTGCTTTAGTTTTCCATTTGTTAAGATTCTTTAAGGCCATGATATACAATGGCTTAGTATTTGGTAACATTCTGTGCAACATATTATAGCACGGTATACAAATTTGGCTAAGGAATCCTACCTGAAAATTATTTTAAGAAAAGCTTTGCATAGACTGGTATTTTGAATAACATAATTAATATAAAGAAATTTTAATTTCGAAAGTAAAATTAAACATACTTGACTAGCAGGTTGCTCATTAGGTTTATTCCGATCCATCATTGGTATCGGAGTTCTCCCTGCTGCCCTTTCTTTATCACCTTGGTCATAAAATTCTTTAAATATGACCTTGACAGTCTTAATTTGAATGTTCCAAGGTTTTGCTGAAGCGGAAAGATCAGCTGCTGTCATGGAAATTGCCATTGCTAGGTCTCTGTAAGACAGTGGTTATATTATTTTATATTCAAAAACGTAATACACACATTTATTTTTAAATACATTTCACATTTTTCGTTCGCATTACTAAGTCTCTACAACGAAAGTGCACCAGCTATAACAACAATATTCGATCATAAAGAACAGCTTCAATTTGCATTGGTCATAGCATCAGCAAACATAGAAGACAGTTATGACATCTAGATAGTTAAATGACTATTTAATCAAGTAGAATTAAGAAATTAAAGTTACAGCCTATGTCTGTCCCATATCCGGGTACAGGCCTCCTCTTATTTCTCAGAAAGTTGTGGAGCACTTAAGTCCGCTTCACTGCTCTAGCTTCACAGTTAACCTACAATTTTCACGTTTCCTCGAAATATTTTATTTTTGTAACAGACAGGCTTTCTCACGATTTTTTACTTTACTGTTGAGTAAGTACTAAAAATGTGGAAGTTCGAAACGGGTTGCTGGAGAGATATAAAATTTACGGTGAAAGTTAACTCATTAACCGTCACCGGAAATATTTAATATTATTTTAAAAAGAAGTGTACATTATACCGATGACTAGGAGTACTCCAGTTGAACCTGTAATGCTTTGGATCACCTTCATGAATTTCTTTTAACTTTTCTAAATTAGGGAAAAACGCTGCTAAATCCGTAGCCAATATACAATGTCTTATTAAACCCAAGATTTCTTTATATTCAGCACTAGTTAAAAGAGAAAATATGTTGTGGCCATCCTGTAAGAGAAAATATTTTTATTTACTTCATGGAATAATACCTTTGAGCAAAATAAACCTTTCTCTTTGTCTATATTGCTTATATTTTGTTCACACTTACAAATTACTCGGCGATGACGGCAAAATAAATCCCACTAAAGGTCTGTTCATTATTATTATTTCTCTTAGCTGTGAGAGTAGGTCAGGAAGGAATTGTCTCGATAATCGAAATCATAGATACTTGTATGTACTTCTAAGTCTGTATCGTGAGATATATTGTGAGATACGATATTACTTATAAAGCTTTAAGAAGTCTTACCTGTTGTAAAATCGTTACAGTTATATTAAAGTGATGGTGTTCCAAGGTAGACGTTGTATACATGGCAGCTAATGGAGATGCAGTCTCACTCATATACTTATTTGTATAGCCACGATGATCTAAATCATGACACAAACATGCCACAAATAGTGCTAATCTCTGTAAAAATATTTACGTTAGTTAAATAAATCTTAATTTATCTTTGCTATTCTAAGATATCGCTTGTCTTTGGTAGTTTTATTTTGTAACTCAAAAAGGATTTTTAAGAATAGAAAATATTGATAATACCTATTTATATATTCAAAAGCATTCACAGTATGGGTAAAATATCCATGTAATTCCAAATATTGGTTATTTTCTTAACAAAAAACATATCCGCTTTCTCATATCGATTTTTATGATTCGAAAAAAGAATTAATTTTCATATTTGGAAAGTGGGTTTTGGTAAAGCAATTTGTATATCTTATAGATAGAGGAGTTTGTGTTTTCGAAATTAACTAGTTTTACATATTAGTTTCAAAAGCGACTGAAGTTCTAAACAATACTTACCATTTTGTAATCAAATCTTTTCGCTTGATCGTTTTTTAAAATTACGTACATTGCATGTGCGACAGACCAACCATGGTCAAAATTGTGGTAGGGCACTCTTCTATAGTTTTTTTTAACTGTCAAAACGAATCGTATGACGGTCATTACATCGAATTTAGATAAATCAAAAAGATCATCAAACATGGTTATAACAGCTTTACATTTTTCAAACTCACTTAACCGATATGGATCTAGGTAAAAATCATTAAAGTTTGTATTTAGTGCTCTATTATCTTGAAAGATAGCTTGAACTTCATTCTCTCTGCATGTATTATGATAACTCAAAACTTCTAGAGCCACTCTATACTTTTGCTCTTTCCGCATAATCCGGTCATATAGCCGTGCATGATGTAGCGCTAACCCAAAGAATGTAGAGAAAATTTCAAAAGCTACTTCATCGTCATGATCAAAATTGTCATGGTTTCTTTTATTCACCATCTGTACTACACCAATGACTTTACCTTGCACTTTTATCGGCATACATAATATACTTATTGTCTTGTAGCCAGTAGCTTCGTCAACTTCTCTAAAATTGAAACATAGTTTTTATTTTACATACTTATTTTTTATTATTGTAAATCAAAATTACCGAAGAAATATCATTATAATGTTGAACGACCATTCTATTGTCAAGAAATAAATTATGTTGAAGAAATGTGATGTAATAAAAACACAGAAATGTCGATAGATTAATTTAGAAGTTTTTTTTTCAATAAACGAGACTAATAAAATTTCCAACCTGTTGAATCTGTAATCAGAATATGCGTCTGGAATGTTCATTGTTTCTCCAGACAAAGCAACATGTCCAGCAATTCCTCTGTTGATGGGCATGCGAATATCTTTCTTTTCCATATCTCGACTTTGCCCAGGTTCAAATTTTAGATCAAACACGGTCGATACTAGCTCAAAATTTCTGTAATCTACAAGGAAGAGTGATGCTCTATCAGCATTCACAAGCCGCTGAGCGAATTCGAGGATTCTCTTAATTAATTGATCTAATGAAACCATTTCTTCAAAAATAGCTCTAAAACAAGAATGAAAATATATATGAGGAAATTTTGTTTTCATCTTTATAAGCACATTTTGTACTAAGTAAAAAATTTTGGTGTACAAATGAGTATTCACATACGAAACAGTTCAAATAATAACAATCGATCTTATAATAAGTAGTGGAAATGGCGGTGTTTATGTCTCTTTCTCAAATTTCGCTTACAATTTTCCTTACAAAATTGAATTCACAACCATTCGAACTTCGCAAACGCTTATACTTTACCAGTAATTTAGGTTTCGTCGTTTTAAACATGGTTATTTTGCCAACTAATATCAAAAGAAGACATTTTTTTCTACTTTTCCCTAAAATATTTCTAATTGGCTAAAAAAGCTGAAGCTTATTTCTCTGTAAATTTATAATTAATAAATATTTTGTATAAAAATTAAACATATCTTCTTTATATATAAAAATTACGTGTCACATTGTTTGTCCGCGATAAGCTCCTAAACCACTGAAATGATTTCAATGAAATTTGTACAGACTGTGTGCAATTTGGTCCAACTTGAGAGATAGGATAGTCATTAGCCCCTCAGTATTTTTATTGCAAATTTAAGTATTTTTATAGTACAGAGGTTCACCGCTAAGGACAGTACAACGTCTGCCTGGCCAGCTAGTATTCTATAAAATTAGTCAACGTTTTATCCGATCTAGATCCTTATACGAGTTGTCTTTAAGTTAGGTAGATAACAAAATATTTCATTTTGTCAATTTTATTTTCGTATAAATTGTTTAGTGAGTTATAGTAAACACATATTAAAGTTGTCGTTTCACGAATCTTATTGTAAAAATAAATTATAAAGATATACTTTACAACGTCCAATAGAAAATCAGACATGCATCGCTCTCGTTTTTTGTCTAGATACAAATTGCAGTAATGTAACGCCAAACTTCCCCATACGAGGAAATTTGAAGAAATCTCTTCATCTTTGTCGGTGAAAATATTATCCACGCGCCACATTTCTATCACATACGCTGTTTTTCCGGTTGCAGTTAAAATTGGTTGATAAAGTATATAATTTGCATCTTTCTGAAAAATATGTTAATTACGGCATAAATGTCAATAATAACGACTAGAGTATATAAAAAATATATAACTATTTATTATCACACGTAAACAAAATCTATATAATTTTTTTATTCATTTTTGGAAATCAATTTATAATAAAAATGGAGAAAATAACGTAAATTAAAGAAATATCAATATATTTTTAAGAGCTGTAACAATAAATATTCTTTATTTTATATTTGCTTCCTTTTTTTTAATATAAAATGTTACTGTATGAACGATCAGGATTTTGTTTCCTGGAACTTTAAACCTCTTACCTCAATGTCAACTCCAAACACCTTTAACAAGGAATGTGGTGTCTCGGGAAAGTTTACTGGATGATTGTCTCGAGATATGCACCACGGAGCTCCTCTTTTCGCCGCTTCGAGCACCAAAATAACTTGTTTAGAATTTGCTTGAATCAAACGAGTTGGATTAAGCAATTCCTAAAACCAAAAAGATCCAGTTATAACTAATTATAATATAATAGGATAATTCATTCTAAAATACCTCAAATAATTCAAATTGTACAGATTGATTGTGGGTTGACTGTTTACCAGTGAGAGGATGTTAGCTTTACACTCACCTACCCATCTACGCCGTGAATCAGCGTGTCAAATATCGGTAAATCTGCTGAGGAAAGCAGTCTAGCTAACGTATTTTTGGCCTATGTCCAACAATGGACTGTAAAATGATACACAAACAAACAAACGACCGAGTAAATAAATCAATTCTGAATATATTATATTAGTGGCATTTGTTGTAGAGACTGGTGTTTGTTAAATTGAAACTCATAAAACCTAAATATTTTCGAATTATAAGAAAAAATATTTAAAATAAATACTTACTTCATTAGTCTCCGTGATGAAGTATTGTACAAAATTAGATTGATCTGGAAAAATTTTGAATACTCTGTAGGCATCCGCGAAAATTGATGAACTGATACAGCGAACAAGTTTCCACAATATAGAGTGTTCATTGGTGTCCTCTCGTAGACTATTTACCAAATCCTATAAAATAATTTGGCAGAAATATTATAAATAATTACACCAGAGGGCTATTTATCGTCGTAATTTCCTATCTAGAGCATACCATTTGGGATTTATCAGCAGCTGGGACTGCAATAGACCGCAAGCTAATAATAATTAAAACAGACGCGACAGAAAATTCAAGCAAAGTTAACATGGAGGAAGTTCTTTATTCGACCATATTTAAATGTCGTATCGTATTTTTTATGTATGTATGTTATGCTATTTCTTCGTCAATTGTGAACCGCTTTTATTGATTATTTTCATAAATAGCATGTACTTCAGGTATGGTCCTGTTTGGCGTATTTCATATACTCCAAACAGAACCATACCTGAATATATTATATTTTTCATTTATTGGTTTTTCATTGGCATTTTATAATATTGATAGTCAATACTACTAATTTGAAGAAAGCTTTTTACAGAAAGTCGACCGTCAAATGATTGTTGTTTTAACCGCATTTTTTTAAATATTAAATAAAGTTAGCAAAAACATAACTATTTATGCCACATACTTTTACTTCGTTCATTTATTACAACATCCTATATTTTTCTTTCGGTAAATAATACCTTAATCCACTCAAAAAGGCTTCAAAATACTACAAAGAATATCGTTCTGGTTAGCAGCCTCGCTTAATCTAATGCTGGGTAAAGGTATTTTTAATAGTGTGGCAATTAATATGCAACCTTGAAAGATTTGCCCATACTCTTCCCGTGTCTTAAGAGATGATTATGAAATATATCAAAAAGGTCTTAAAGCTTCTAAAAGATAGCACTGTTAACACGTTCGCGTGAGCAACGTCTTACAACGTCGTGTTGATAGAATTATAAAATGGCGCGACGTCATAGGACGTCCTCTAGATTGTCATATTTATGTCCGCGGATGAACGTTGTGTCGTTTATTGTGGTATATCGGACCAGCGTGGTGGCGGCAACGTTTATAAACGTCGGACGTGAAGAAACGTTGCGCCACATAACACAGTTATAAGACATACGTATTACGGCGGGACGTCTTGAGACGTTGCTTAACTCTATATGGGAAAAAAGTACAAACATTACACCGCCGCAGTACAAACATTTAGAGATTAGGTTGCTCACGCGAACGTGTTAACAGCTCTTTACCGGCAGGCGTAAAATACCTACACTTGCGACAAGTAGCGTCAATACGTAGCGTAGGTGCTACGAAACTCTGGCACTGCGATCAGTACTTCGCTTGCCAAGTGTGACAATTAATGCATTGCCTTCTTACAACAGGAGTGCTCCATATTTACACTTTTCAGGTTGAAGAACAAGAATAAATAAATTATGAGATTTTTTTACCTACTCTATTTATATGTAGTGACTTACCATAAATATTTGTTTTTTTGTTTGATTTCCCTTATTATCGCATCTTTCAAGAGTTCTAGAATCACAGACCGATTCACATAATATCTGTAAGTTATTATTAAACTTGTGTAATTATATTAATTTTTTTTGCGTTTATCACTTATTAAATTATTAAATCACATGGTATAAATATAGCTATTATATTACTATACTATTTACTACACTATATACTATTTTTATAGTATCATAGACATAGATCTAAATAGAACGCAAGTGTACAGTCTACTTCGTGTGCCTAGCATAAGTTAAATACCTTTATGTAGTCGCTGTTGTGCTATAGTCTGCACCAGCTGTTGTCGTAGATACATTTCAGCCGAATATGACGAGTTGTGCCATTAGAAAAGTCAAAACCTTCTGGTTTGTTTCCCTCTGTCGCCTCTTACAACACCCACGGGGCGATCGATATAGGATAGTAAACATTCTTACACCGCCTCTACACGGTTACCAACGGAAATTGTTGATTTGCAATTTTAGACGACATTGAACGAAAGCAGCGTGAGAAAACCTGCATGTCTGAAGAATAACATAGTTCGAGGTCTAATGAAGTCCGCCAACACGCACTGTGACAGCGCGACTGACCTATTTGCTCCATAGCCCTCTCAAAAATCACAGAAAAGGCACAGCCCTAGTTGTTACTTATTTAGTTATTTTATCTTTACTTTATTTTTTTAAACCGGTCAATAAGGAACATATCAGGGTATTTAATAAAGAACAAGAAATGAGCACAATACTTACGGCCAATAAACAAACTAGAGAAAGTCGAGAAGAGGTAAATGCTAAGATAGCATTGGGTAGACCATATGCTGACTGAGTTATTTGAAAAAATGGACAATAAAGATCACAGAATTAACTCCGATAAACAAAATAGAAAGAAATACACAGAGATAACAGATAAGATTATGACTTAGGAAAAACGCTAAGTCATTCATAATACGAAAAGGAAATTGCTTATGGATTTGTCTGAAAGACTGTCGAAGAGAGATTGGAATGGCTTTGACAAGGGTAGACATTTACAGAATATTTTATATCAAATATATTACGTTACTTATATTCCTCAAAACCGTACGGTGAGTGTAGAGAACCGGATATCCTTTTTACTGGAAAAGAGGCATTCCATCTTAGTCCTCACGGGTGACAACGCATCTGCATTTTGATTCTTTATCGAAGATAGATGTAGATGTCTATGGGTCACAGCGACCACTTACCATCAGGTGGACTGTGTGCTCGTTTATCACCCTATCCTATAAAAAAAAAGCTTCGATCTACTCATTCCTGCATGAAAGGTGTAATTTAGGTTGTAATTAAAGTGCCGAAGATAAACGACAATGTATTTATTTCGCCATAGGTACCTGGAAATTCATTATATAAGTACACTGAAAATTTCGGGAATCAAGGAAGTAACACAACATTACTATTTAAAAATGTATTTATTGCTTTTCGAAGTATTCTCCGCGAAATTTGACACATTTTCCCATACGATGGAACCAATCATTGAAGCAACCATTCCATTCGAAAGTTGGGGTCTCCAAAATGGCCGTTTTGTAGGCGTCCACAGCTTCTTCAGGTGATGAAAATCTCTGTCCACGCAATTTATTCTTTATTTTAGGGAAAGTATAGAAATCATTAGGGCTTAGGTCGGTGCTGTAGGGCGGATGGTCTAATAATTCTATGTTTTCTTGCTCTAAAAACTCTTTTGTTCTGTGTGCGGTGTGAGAACTCGCATTGTCGTAATGGAGGATGATGCGGGGGTTGCAGTTCTCTTTACGGAGTTCAGAAACGACCTGTGACAAACAAACGCTAGCATACCATTCTGCATTAACCGTTCTTTGTCCCTCAAGAGGAATAGTCGTAACATGGCCGGTTTTGGAGACAAACGTGGCCACCATTTTTTTTTTGCAACACTCCGTGAACGAACAATTTTTGTTGGCTTTAACTCATTTTCAAACACCCAAACTCGTGACTGGTTTTTTGTTTCGGGTTCGTACGCGTATATCCAGGATTCGTCACCTGATACGATGTTGTATACAGCATTTGAGGATCCTGCGTGGAATCTTTCGAGAGTTCTGACGCACCAAGCAACGCGAGCCGCTTTTTGCTCTTCATAGAGCGAATGCGGTATCCATCGGGAAAACAACTTTTTTACACCTAATTGTTCATACAAGATTATTTGTATTTGACTCATGCCAATGTCTAAAGTTGCCTGAATTTCGCGGTATGTCACATATCGTTTTCTTGGGTGACTGCAGTTTTTGGACGACCTTGACGGGGATCATCACTGAGCTTGACACGTCCACGTTGAAATTCAGCAAACCAGCGATAAATTGTGGTTTTGGATGGGGCTTCATCACCAAATGCAGAAATCATCCGGTCAACACACTGTTTTTGTGTTAAACCACTTCGAAAGTCATAATAAATCATCGCTCTTGAATTTCCTCGAGTCAATTCCATTTTCTCAGTGACTAAACAAGTATGACAAAACCTTGTGACAAGACCGAGAATCTTTTTTTAAATAAATAAATGGTATTCGATTTTTAAAACCAAGGAGTTTTCAATTAAAAAGATTTTAATATGACAGGAACAGTGGAAATATTCCATTCCCGATACTTTTAGTGCAGCCTATGTATTTTACTTTTCTCTAGTAAATAATGTAAGAATTATTGTTTGGACTAGGAATGGCTTTAGACAAAAATATATATTTTGACTTTCAAACTTTGAAATCTTTAATTAAAACGAATTAAAATTATTAATTTTTGGTTCGATATACGCAGTTAATAATTAAATTAATAATTTAAATCTGGAGGCGGCCGTGGTTAACTTTGTCATTGGAACGAACACCTCAGCCCCCCCTGACCATGGGGTGCTCGAAACGTCGGGAATATAAAATAAGTTAATATACGTGACAAAATACTTTTCCTTATCAAAAACTGACTAGGGAGACTGTTTGGTACAGTGAGATGACTACTGTTTAGATTTGAAAATTATAAATGAGAAACCGGTCCGTTTTAATAATTAATAAATTAAAATAGGTTAGTTTTCAAACAGTAGCCAAATATTAAACTTAAGTTCAAATATATAAATACAGATATACCCTTATTACAGTTTTTAAAAATACGAGTAAATAAAGCTTCTACTTTTATTTAAAATTACCCCAAATTGAATGAGATTTATGGGCAACAACATTTTTGTCTACCGACCGATCCTTACGTAAATATGCTTGTGCAGTAAAGTCAGTTAAAATAATGCATTACCACGCATTTTGAATTTAAAAGATAAAAAGGACAGAATGTTTGAGATTTTTTAATTAATTTTTGTTCACCGTTTGCTATATTACTTATTCTGAACCTTCACTGCATATTTGGCCGGTTATTGCAAAATAAGCCTGTATATTTGTATATAGTTTGGAAACTCCAAAAGTGCACGCCTCATGTGCGTTTCATTTAGATTTGATGAAAAAAATAATTACCAAAATAAATCGATTAAACAAAGTATAAAATCGATATAGGCTGTATGGTACATTTCCCCTTTGTCTATAAAGGGTTAACTAAAAAAATAAAAGCGCCTTTAAAATATTAATAGCAATAAAATTTATACAACTTGAAATTTATTTTATTAACAAAGGACGCGTACTAGGCTATTGATATGAAATAGGGAACCATTTGATGTAATTCTGAAGCTAATTAAAAACAACCCGGTCTCGATATGTCAATTTTTTTGGGAGTCAGCGTGACCACATACAAAATCAACATGCGGACGTCCACATAAAAAAAATTTGATACCGTTTTTTATCAAAGTAGCAATATAAAATGATTGATCGGAAAATATAAAATTAATTAATTAAAGTGTTTTCTTGATATACAGCTACTCATATTGTCGTATAAGTGCAATATGGTTATGATAGAGGCATTTTAAGATCACAAAGTTGCGTGACCTTGACGTGTCGAGAGTAATACACACCTAATAACGCTTCGTGTTATGATGCGTGCAAAAAGTAGGATCTAAAATTCATCTTCACTATTGTGGTTTGGATATACACGTGATATCCAAACCACAATAGTGAAGATGAATTTTCAAAAAGAAACAATAATCGTAAATATAAATGATTACTTTTTTTTAATAATATGATAAGACAAAATGTATAAATTCATAATTGAAAAGTTGACAAATATGATAAAAGTAATATCCTCTAGCCCGAACTTCGGTCAATGCGGAGTCTCAACGGAGACGAGCCATCTGCCCAGGAGAGGAATATAGTGCCCGAGGTATGCGCAAGCACGTGTATTTATTCTCTCACTCCCATAGTCCTATGAGATCGGAATGAGATCAGGCCCGTGAAACCTTTGGGGACCAAAGGCTTCACGTGCTTTAAATAATGGTAACCTAGTACACAACATAATAAAATTCGTTCCACTATTTTCATTGAACAAATTCAAACTTACAATGTTCCGTGTCGTTTTCTTCACAAGCCATCTCTCCAATTCATTTAGTGGAATACTGTCAATAACGTATGACTCCAAGAAGTCTCTGTTCCGGTCGAGGTATTCCACTATCTCGAACACTTCGCCATCTTTGGTGCGTTCCGCTGTAAATACAATTGACGTAAGACTTAAATACATTCTTGTAAATGGCAGAGCCCTGCTATATTAAAAATATGTCCCAGTTCAAATAATTGTAGGTGGAGTGTATGGCGTCCCCCACTAGATGGAGTGTCGACCTAGTAAGACATGCAGGAAGTCGATGGATGCAGGTGGCTCAGGATCGTGCTTTGTGGCATTCCTTGGGGGAGGCCTGTGTTCGCAGTGGATTTGTGAAGAGCTGTAATGATAATGATAACTCTTGCTGCATAGATAGGGTAAAAATTAATTAAAAATCCAGGGAACTTTGACATTCGGACCTCAAACACTTCAGTCCACCCATGTTCATGGGTGCTGTATAGCACTCGAAACGTCGGCAATTAAGTAAAATTAAACGCGATAAGATGCGTAAAACTAGTTTTATACAATTTTAATAAACAGTGAAAGCCAATTTCAAAGAAATAAAAAGATAAAAGTTATTTCCATTTTCCACATTATAGCTTTTGAAGTTAGGGCCGTGATTCTTTAGCTGACTATGTCTAAGCACCGTATACCTATATACCTAGAACTCGAAAACAGTGTTTTGTCGGTCTACGCGCGAATTGAGAAATAGGTATATGAAGAAACTATTGCCGTCGGGCTATAAATGGTCTCCCCCCGTAGAGAGCGATAGGGACAACTGCAGCTCAGAACGATTTTACCTACAAAAACCATGACCGATCGAAGTTTCGTATTCCCCTGTTTTCTCCTCGAAAACTAAATCAATTAAATAATTTTTCGTATCAAATGTTAAAGGAAGAATAGATCTATGCTCATATCACTGGTTTTTATTTTAAAAACTTTTCAAATTTCTAGGGTATTCGTCAGATTGCGTAGGTAAAAACGGGACATATTTTTAAATTTTTTTTGGAAAGCCATATTATATATTTTTGTAATAATATACCTTCAATAGACCTAGATTTTTATAAACAAAAACGATTAATCTAGAGGCATTATCTAGGAAGAAAATAAGGGAAATACATTTGTATGGATAAAATGCAGCCCGTCTACTCTCTTAAAATAAATAATTTGTCAGCATCAGACTTTCCGTCTGAAAACAATGTGGTCTACAAGAGGAATGTGAGTAGGCTCTTACTAAACTAGCGCGTGCTTACACCGTACTGTGTGTTATTATTTAGAGAAGTTCTATGCTCAATAGAGAGCTTGTTATGGGTTGTAATGAGTATAACCATTACTCATTATTCATTCAATACAGCCTATCAAAATCCCCTGCTGAACATGTACATCCCCATAGATTGCCCTACAGGAAGATATTTACCACATATAGCTACCATACCACACCATAGTGCCATAGTTACCACACTTGGCAGACGGGTCGGCAATGGCAGTTTTTATTGTTTTGAGCTATTATCATGAAGATGCTACAGTGCTACTGCTCCTTTCCTTTTTCAGTTTCCTTCTAACGTCTCTTACGACACACATGGGCTATTTCTCAAAACTACCACGAATTTTTAGTTAAGGCCTACAATGTAATTTTAATTCTGTGAAGCATAAGTCCAAATGTTTAAAAAAGTAATATGAAAATTAGTATTGATAACATCAAAAAAGAAGAAATACACTTTACTTTCTAATTGTTTATTTATTATATTTATTGCGTTTTATTCCATTGTTTATGAACATAACGATATATAGTAGTATATACCCTATTGAAAAGCATTATTTTAATATTATTAATAAATCAATATTAGAAAGTAGTTTTATTGCCATTGGACACTGAAAAACTTTTATGATTATGACGTTTAGATTAAAAAAAAAATTATTTTATAATCTAAATTTCTTACAATTTTTCTTGTATTATTGTTATATATTACAGATCAACTGTTAATCAGATGTTGTGTAAATAAAAGGTTGCTGACTATTTGACTTTTGACCCTATTTACACCTTACATGCTTACCTAAACTGACCATTTATTTTTTAACTCAAAACGGAACATGGGTTTATTTATAAATACTCTAAAAACTATAACACAATTAGTTTATACAATTAGTGTTCACAATAATAAAAATAGTTATATTCAGATTAATCAAAATTATTTTTATTATAGCAAATTTTGAAAAATCAAATTAATCACCATTTCATCAGCAAACCTTAAAGCCAAATTCCTCAGATAGTAATTGTTAAATGCAACATATTTTTTAAATTATTATTTACATTTGTCAGTGGAACAAATTTGCTTTAATAAAGTCGGTGATGAATTTAAATAAGAATAAAATTCTGGGCATTTTTTTTTTAATTAACATCGCCTTTAGAACTGGAACCTATAAGTGATTTTTTTCAGACATCTACAATTTATTCATCGTAGGAAAATACTCTTTTTACTGGAGCATTTGTACCAGGTAGACATAAAATACATTTGATAAAATGCAAAAAAAAAATTATGTTGAACATTGTTGATGCGAAAATGTTTGAAATTTGAATACTTCCACCCAATTCTACGCAAACTTTTAAGTAATCCCACACTATTTTTGGTCGGTCTCGCTCTCGCAGTTTGTGTCTGACAAACTTCACAGTTTTAAATTTTCGCATTATTTCGGAAAACGAGACTATTTTGCGTCCCGGAGCTTTGTTTGGGGACAACGGAACAGGTGACCGAGAAAAGGGACAGTCCCGTTCAAAACGGGACATATGGTCACTTTATGCTTACCCCACACAAGCTTGACATTTAACTTTATTATTAACACGCTCCCGCTCAGCGGCAACACAGTATAAATATATTTTATACTGTGGCGGCAATATCCATATTCAATTTTAATCTGTTTTTGATGTTCCTTGCATTAATTAATAATTATGTACATTTCCACATATCGTTTAGTTAATTTTATACTTGAACACTTATTTTAAATGGAAATTAATTACGTTTTTTCTTACGGCATTCAAAGACATGATGTGCCGGTATATAAAAAATACCGCACGAGGGCTGACAACATGACTACGTGACAAGTTCAGCTTATCCACTTTTAGAAACGTTTACCTTTAGATGATGATGATGACGATGATGATGAAGGAACCTGTGAGCTTGCTGATTTGCTCTGCTTATTGTCTTTATCTGTAATTAGAAAACATAAAAAATAGTTTTTAAGATTAAAAAAATAATATTCTTTTTTGTTTTTACAACCTAAAATTTGACCACGAATATGTTGTAATGCACGCACCCTGAGGACTGACGAGAAGATCGTGGAGCTGGAAGAAGAGATAGACAAGTTGCGCTGGCATATTATAGGATTATCTGAAGTCCGAAGAGAGGGGGAGGACACGGTAATCCTCGAATCCGGCAACTTGCTCTATCACCGGGAGGGCGACCATCTGTCCCAAGGAGGTGTCGGATTTATCGTCCACAAGTCTCTCGTTAACAACGTTGTAAAAATCGGGAGTGTGTCGACGAGGGTTGCGTACCTTATACTCAGAATCACCAAACGGTATTCGCTGAAGGTCATACAGGTTTACGCACCAACCTCGGCACACCCCGATGAGGAGGTGGAGGAAATGTATGAGGATATCTCTAGAGCCATGCATTCCTCCAAAACCCAATATACGGTGTTAATGGGAGACTTCAATGCAAAACTAGGCACAAGAGAGAACGGTGAGCTGAAAGTAGGGAAATTTGGAATAGGGCAACGGAACCCAAGGGGCCAGCAGCTGGCCGACTTCATGGAGAAAGAGGGACTCTTTATGATGAACTCTTTCTTCCAGAAGCGGCCCCACAGGAAGTGGACCTGGTCGAGCCCCGACGGTTCCACAAAAAATGAGATTGACTTCATTATGACGACCAGACGACAACTGTTCAGTGATGTCTCCGTGATCGCGAGGGTGAAAACTGGTAGCGATCACCGAATGGTTAGAGGCACACTGAACCTAAACGTTAAGTTGGAGAGGTCTCGTCTAATGAAGTCAACGCTCCGTCCCCCTCGTGCTCTGTTTCAAAGTCCCGAAACCTTTCAGCTCGAGTTACAAAACCGTTTTCAGTGCCTAGAAGACTGCAATGAAGTGGACGATATGAATGACAAGCTCGTGGAAACTGTCCATGCGGTTGGAGCTAAGTTCTGCAAGACCCGCCGCAGAAGAACACAAAAACTCTCCGATCACACTCTTAATCTCATGGCTGTTAGACGGGAGATGAAGCTACATTCTTCAACAGACTTGACAGCATACAGGCATCTGAACAGACAGATCTCCAAATGCATGCGGCGGGACTTACGCAACTTCAATACAGCTCGTATTGAAGAAGCGATCGAGCGGAACCAAGGCTCCAAAGTCTTTGCCAGAGATCTGTCTGCCAGAAAGAGCCAACTGTCAAAGCTGAAGACAGAATGTGGCAGCATCGTTTCCGGGACACCTGAGATTTTGAGTGAGATTGAGAGGTTCTATGGGCAGCTGTACACATCATCGTTGGAGCCACACGCAAGTGTGAGTAACGATCCAAGAGCGAGTCTCATCCGACACTATTCCGAAAATATCCCGGATGTCAGTCTGAGCGAGATTAGGATGGCTCTCCAGCACCTTAAAAACGGTAAGGCCCCAGGCGAGGATGGAATTACAGCGGAGCTTCTGAAAGCGGGTGGAAGACCGGTACTTGAAGTCCTTCAGAAGCTCTTTAATTCCGTCCTCCATGGTGGCATTACACCGGAGGCGTGGAGCAGAAGTGCGGTGGTCTTGTTCTTCAAGAAAGGTGACAACGCTCTCTTGAAGAACTACAGACCGATTTCCCTTCTGAGCCGCGTCTACGTGCTGTTTTCGAGAGTCATTACGAATCGTCTCGCGCGCAGACTTGACGACTTCCAGCCTCCCGAACAAGCCGGTTTCCGAAAGGGCTTTAGTACCATAGACCACATACATACCCTTCGGCAAGTTGTACAGAAGTCCGAAGAGTACAATTTGCCACTATGTCTGGCGTATGTGGACTATGAGAAAGCCTTTGATTCCGTCGAAATTTGGGCGGTGCTGCAGTCCCTTCAGCGGTGCCAAGTTGACTGTCGGTATATCG